TTTTTATAGTTTTAAATATCAAAATCAATATGTTTGGGTTCACTTCTGAAAATCAAAGACTTTGCTGGGCGTGTAAAGTAAACCCATGTGAAATGGACATTCACGTTCAACATAAACTGAATATGGCGGTGAAGCAATTGGTCAATACTGAAGAAATCAAGCAAGTTTGTCCTAAGAAGCTATGTCGTTCTTGTGCTTTGTTGAGCATCGAATCCGCTCATTTTAGTAGTTTTATAAAACATGCATACGACAACCTTGGAGATAATATGGAAATATTGTAAATGAATTGCTAACAAACAATATTCATTGACGTAACCATTAACTGACGGTTATTTTCTTTTTCTAACGTTTCTTTTTAAAACGTTTCTCTTTCTATACTCAATTCAATTAATCTGAATGCGCCTATGAATGTTATTATTTTTAAATCTTTTACAGATATTTTCTCTTTTAAATTCATATAAATATTTCTTTAATAACTTTTTAAAAATGGTATTCGTTTCCATAACGTGTAAAAGATTTTAAATTTATTAATTAAAATTTAATAAATTTTTTCTAAATTCCCCAGCAGCATTAAAAACGATATTTTTTGTCACAACTGTTACTAATAGATATACAGGAAGTCCCGATAGCTCTGAGATGAATACAGAAAATAATAGTGAGGTGGGAAAGATTATACGTACTGACGATGGAAGAATTAAATGTAATTTTTGTGACAGTACATTTACCCAAATAAGCTCTTTTAAACAACATGTGATGAGCCACTCCGGACTGAAACCTTTCGTTTGTGAATATTGTAACAAAGGGTTTGGACGTCGTACTGTATTGAATAACCATATGCGCTTACACACTGGTCAAAAACCGTATCAATGCCATATGTGTGTCTTAGCGTTTACAACTAAAGACAGAATGGATGTAAGAATCAAGAACAATGTTAATTAATTAAATTCAATTAATTTAATTATTTTATACAGACGCATGTGAAACGTGATCATGTTGAGAATAAAAAAAGTTCGCGAACCTACTCGTGCAGAATTTGCAAACAGAAGTTTGATACTTATTATGACAAAACCCTTCATCAGCAAATGAAAGATTCACCCTGTTTTGAGAAAATTAAGTCCAAATACGTTAACGATAACCCAGACGGATTGAAAACTGCTGCTTCCGTATCATCTTTTATTTGCTTAACTTGTCATAAAAAGTTCTCGACATCAAAGGAATTATTAAATCATCAGAAAGGACATGACGCTCCAACGGTTGAATGTAAAGATTGTAAAATACTTTTCACCAGTGTAACTGAACTGTTATACCATGAAACAAAAGCACACAATCGGGTAGGCAACGCTAGCATAGAGGTGATCAATAATCAAATATTATCTGTTCATGAAATGACGCAACCTGCAGGCGAAAACAACAGCGAACTTCAATGCTGCAAGCGTCAAAAATTGGACAATACCGATGAAATAAACCCAGCTGCTATGTTTCTTGCGAATTGTAGGACTCGTGCTCGTAAAGAAAAGGGCTCAGATGAACACAAATGCCTAATATGTAAGGCTGTATTTACAGCAGGACCGTCATTAAAAATACATTTGCGTTCACACACTAACGAAAAACCATTTCATTGCAAATATTGTTTCAAGCAATTCAGTCGGAATAGTGTTCTTAAAGTGCATCTAAAACGACACACAAAAATAAAAGCGCATAAATGTTCTCAATGCGATATGGCTTTCGATTTTAAGCACACATTAGAAGTAAGTCAATTAAAGGGACGTGGATATACTCGTATTTATAATATTATTATTATTATTATTATTATTATTATTTTTATTATTATTATTATTATTATTATTATTGTTATTATTATTACTTTACTTTTAGACACATATCGAGCGTTCCCATAAACATACCAACGTGATTGAGCTTGTACTCTATTGCTCTTATTGTCCGGAAGTGTTTTCCGATGATTTCCAATTGCAGGAACATATGTCAGTAGAACATGAAAGCATCAATGTTAATTATAAATGTGAAGTTTGTGAAAATGAGTTCGATGACTTCATGAAATATAAGAACCATGTAGTGACACATAATTTACAAGAACATATCTCAGCAGAACACGGAGCCTCCAATGATTCAAATGATTTACAATCTGCTGAATATCTCTCAGAGGAAAACGAAAGCTCTATTGAATCACAATCTGACATCGGTACGATGTCAAATGTGGAAGAAGTTATAGATGAAAATCATTTGAAGGATCGAAATGTGAAAAAAAGTTGCAAAACTTGTAAAAGTTTGCGTAACAAAAAGTAAATATAGTATATAATAACATTATATTAATTAAAAGTTTGAAAGTTCCTTTTTTCTAATATTTCAGAACCGAACTTCACATACACATTAAAAAAAAGCATGTGTGTACTGCTAACAAAAGTTTCAGATGCCATTTCTGTAATGAATTGTTTTACGACGTTATTTTATTCGATGAACACTTGGCTAATGTTCATGATGACAAAACATATGAGAACCAGTGTCCTGAGTGTTCTAAATTATTCAAGAATAACTTTTCATATAGGAGACATATATATAAAGTACACGATGCAGTCCGTTTAATCTGCTGCGAGCGCAACTGTGGGAAAGTTTTTGAATCTCTCAAGGCTTTTGATATACATGTTGTTAACCATTTCTTATAAATTTAATACGCATCATTAGTGCATAAGCATACGAAACATATCACTTTCATATTCACTTTCATATGAACGTTTTTCATTCTCAAAAATCCTTTAAAATACGTGTGAACCATTTTCATAAATAACTTTCATATACACTTTACTAATGCTGCATATTTCTGTTAGTTCACAAGTTACAATATTACTTTCATAAACACTGCTTATGCTGCATATTTCTGTTAGTTAGTAAGTTACAATGTTTATGACAAATAGTAAATTTTATAATTATATAATGTGTATTGTGAGCTCTTTCAGCTGAATATATACTGCAAATAATTATATATGCACTAGTAATATAAATAAACAATATATTTGTTTTTAATATGGAAAATGTCATTGTTTGTTTTCAATTGTAGTACCTAAGTGCAAGTTACCAGCTCTCAGCTAGCACTTTGGCTGTAGTTTATTTCAATATAGATATTTGAGTAATTTTATAAATATCTCTTAATGATTACACATTTTAACATATTTTTAAAGCTTTTTTATATTTATTTTATTAAACTTGCTATCAGGTTTGATGTTACAAGCAATAAGCAATTTATTTACTTAAAATTAAGTTCTGACATTTGTTACTGATTTGTTATACTGTAGCAGGCCTCTTGTGCCCGGGAAATGAGAATCGTGATGAATTTGAAAAAACATGTTTAGAAAATTTGAAGTAATCATAGATTCTACCAGTTCTAGTAAATTTATCTAATATATAAATTTCAAATCCAACAATTAATCTAATGCTATTAATGCACTTCGATATAGCAGCGAAGCATTTGGTACTCATAGCAAGAAGCCCATATTTTTACGTTGTCATCTCATTAGATATGCCAAGCCTTCATAGCCTTTTAAATGTATTTTAAAACAGTACGTTCAGTGCATGTTATATGCATAAATTTGCCATCAAAAACTGTTACATCTAGTACTCTAGAGTTGTCTGTCAAACATGTAAATAAACCACACGTGCAAAATAATATCAAATTAGTTTTCATTCTCTTCTACAAAAAAAGGTTGGGCTGACTTTTGTTTTAATATGCCTAAAAGAAAGAAAGAAGTGAAAATCTTAGCCGATAAAGAAGCAACTAAAACTGTTCCACAGCTTAAAAATAAAAAAAACGCTGGAAAAAAATCAAGTGAAATACCCCGCGGAATGCCGAAATCTGGTAGACCATGGAAGACCCCAAAAACGAAGTATATTTTGTGTAAACATTTAATTGTTTTATATTAAGAAATTGTTATTTTTTAGATTTACTAGCATTAAAAAGACTGTTAATCGTAATTCATTTGAAAAGAAATTAGAGCTCAGAAATCAACTGCGACATATAAAAGAAATGTCAAAAGAGATAAAGGAACAACGCAAAGAAGCTGCCGTAGAGAAACATAAAAGGCGTCAGGAAAATGCTGAAAGACGCTTGGCAAATGAACGTCGTTCTGAAGTTGTACAGATAATCAAAAATCCATCCAAATTGAAACGTCTGAGGAAAAAACAAATGCGTCAGATCGAAAAACGCGATATCAGTCAAGTAAAAGTAGCTTAAAGCCCCGTATCTATGTCACTTTTAGTTAATTTTAAAAATAGTAACTAGTTTATAACTCTAAAATTATATGCACATACTATTATTATTAATAAATAAAAATAAAATATGTACATACATATAATATCAGATGCAAACCTACTTTCTTATATTATTTGAAATAAACAAAAGTTAAATATTAAATTATATTTATGAACAAGTTTGCTATGAAATTCACTTTAAATGGTTTTAATTAATATTAATATTTCAATAACATAAAATATCAAATATTTTTATACAAAAATTAATATTTCTGTATATATTCTTTAAGGCATTTCAAGTAAATAAAATATGCATACGTTATCATCTTAATTATAGTCAAATTAAACACAAATCATGAAAATTAATATAAGGGATTTCGAAACTCGTACCTATTCAGTTGAAATTGAGCCAGTTGATTCAATTTTGATGCTTAAAGAAAAAATATTTGAAGTACTTGGTCATGAGTATCCTGTCCGTCAAACGCTCATTTATGATGGGAAAATTATGAGCGATCAACATATTGTAAAGGATTACAATATAAGTAAGGATAAGTACGTTTTAGTGCTTCTCAATGACGAAATAACAGCTTCTATATTAAAGCCCTCATCATCATCATCATCGTCAATAGGTATATTATTTTCAGAAATACTTTTTTAACGTATGTTAAAGTTTTTAAATTGCATAGATGAAAATTCTGACTAAACGTGCCAAGAACTAAGTAGATCAGCGAATTGAAGCATAACTAACTGAATAGGTCTGCATTTAGTTCGAGCCTTCTTTAGAACATTTAATCCAAATGCCGGTGGAATTTATTTATTTATATTTTATTTCTTTTTATTAATGCAGCCATTGCATTTTTATTAATGTTTATAATAAACATATTATTGTATAAAAGAATAAACAAATATAGCTTTTTTATTTTAATTTCAGAAACTATTTTGAAGTAATATTATTACATTGTAAATCCTTGTTCTAATGGACTAAGCGTCTATCTGCATATTTACTTTTCTCTCTCATGTATTACAAGTTACACTCATGATTGTCTAACTTTTGAAAGGTTCTGCAAACCTTGTCATATGTATTATTTTACAAAATCTACTTTAAGATCCTTCTGTTATCTGTTATTGTGCTATATTAATATTCGATGTTTTAAGAGACGACTATATATATATATTTAAATTATATTTTATTACTTTACTCTCTCTCTCTCTTGACATAATAAATTCCGCGGTAACAGTTGTTACTGCATGTGGAAGGCGTTTTCTATCTTAAGAGGCTTCAGGCTAAGCTATGTTAAGAATTTTGTTGCAATACCGACGTACTTTGCTACACTGGCGAAGGAGGTTATTTCCGTTTACTGATATTTGCTCCGTTGCTATAGATATTGAAGAAAAGATCATGATTCGAAAAAAGAATCGATGATGCTATTATAATCTGTGTTGATTAATTTGATTTGATTTCTTATTTCACTTGACATATTTTCAAAACTTTGTTTTATATAAATTAGTTTTATAAAAATATTAATCTCTAAAAAATACCATTTCTGACACTCCAATATTAACTTTACGAAAAGTAAACTTGAAAAAGAAGACAAAGAATTTTTTTAATAATATTTATTTGATTCACTACGTTTGATTGATTTATAATAAATAAGCTTCAAAATGTTAATATAGTTCAAGAGATATTCTTAAAACGAACACATCGATGCGGTGTAATTGAGATTTGCGTTGTGTTTTTTTAATACTTATATCAAATATACTTTTTTTTAAACATATTACATGTTTCATTAAAAATTGTATAAATATTTATTTTTTTTTTATTTCAATACTCTTATAAAATCGCAACCTTAGTTGTAAGAAAAGCTTCTTAATTTTTAGTGTATTTTAGACTACAAAGCAACATTCAAAGCGTTTAACGTACACATAATAGATAATAAATATTAAAGAAAAATAAAACACATTTTCGAATATTTTAATAATAAAGTAAATAAAAATTTGTATTTTAAATAAAAATTTTGGTTTTCCTACTCAATTTGGAGTTACATTTGTAAAACAAATTTGCTTAAAAAATTCTTAAACAATTATTTAAAGAAAAAAACTAAAATGATGATCAAAGTTACAGTAAAAGTTAAAACGAATTTAAATATTAATTTTTATTTTAAAATAGAAATATATAAGCTTTTTGATATTTTTTAACTTATAAGAATTTAATTAAATTTAAGGGTTATAATTTTAGATAGAAATTTTATTTATTTTAAGTGTTGCAGTTGCGGTTCTTGCAGTTTAGTTTATTGTCTATTTGTGTGTAATTGGAATCATTGTTTCACCCGCAGTTAGTGCTGGTAATGGAGCATCCACAGTCAATACACCGTCCTTGCTTAATGATGAACGAATAGATTCGGGATTTACTCCTTTGGGCAATAAGAACTCACGATTGTATTCCCTGTAAACACTCTTTGTGTCCGATTTTTCTTCATGTTTTGCATGCACCTTAAAATAAAAATAGATTAAAGATATATATTTTTAATGAATTTATATAAAATTTTAGATTATTTATTTATCTCCATATTTTTCTTTTTTTTTTTCTTTGGAGCTATGTCACTGCCACGTACTCATAACCATATCATAGTTACAAAACCGTGTCATCAGTATATTGTTTGATGACAATATCTGGACCAGTGGTGGCTAGCCACTGGAAATTAGCACCGTAAATATACTTAGCCCGACCACTCTCTAAAAATTGATTGCATATCTTATTTATTCAAGCATTTTAGAAGAGTTAAGGTAAAATTAATAAACCTAAACATACTGGTAAAACAATACTTATACTACCAAGTATAAGAAAAGCTATAATACCCAAAATAGACTGATTCTCCACAGAGTTGAAGATTTGTAAAGTAAGCAAGCAATGGCTTATTTGATTGTTGATTTACGAGCGGTGTTAGAACTGGGTTACTGAGATATTTACTAGATTACTGGAGAAAACACATACGTATACTGACTGATTCTTACAAAAGTCGGGATTTGCTAAACTACCGGCTCTGGTTGGATTTGCAATACCCATTTATATAAAAATGTAATATTTAGTAAATGATGTATTTTTTTTTCTTTAAATACATAATTAACTTTATTCACCTGTGTGGAGGAAACAGTGTAACAAAATTGTTTATTATAGTTTTTAAAATACGTCAGAGACATAAAATAAAATTATATTGTATACATATATATATACAATATCTCATACATTTATTCATGTGTTCTCGAAGAAAAATTTTCATCTGCTGACACAAAAAACAAAAAATTTGTTGGCAATTGTACAAAAAGTTTCTGTTAATATTTTTCTATTTTCCAATTTGTAATGAATTTTTGCGAAGAAATTATGTACGTAAAAATAAACAATTTCACATCCATATGCCATAGATACAAACTCAAAGTAGAAATTTCATTAATATACTATATAAATCAATTTGCAAGCGCTGCCAAATAATATCAGCAAATTCAGAGATCTCATCGAAAAAATATTTTTTTGTTTAGTTTTCTCAAAGTAGAGTTGAGTCATTTCTAAAATAAATAAAAGAAAATACCAGAACCGAAATGGATTATCTTCAGTCTTACGAACGAACAAGGCATCATTAATATTCGCTAAATTATAGCAATGTATGTGATAATATCTACTCTTCTACAGAATATCTACAGAATGTTGATGTATATATGATAACTTTTGGAATGTTTGGATAATCTATAAGATACAACTGTCACTGTTAATTTAAGTGGAAGATTATTTTACATTTAAAATTCATATTCCACAACTGAAACAACAGTTCTCTATAAACTGAGTAAATTTTTTTTTATGTTTGTATGGAGATTACTTACCAATAATTTTTG